AAGGCTCTTGATTGATCATTGCGGTTATATTGAATCGTGATGTCATAATAGAGAAAAGAGATTTCTTGTACGCCATTTGCAAATAAAGAGATATTTAGATAAAACAACACTTGAAATTGCTTTAAGATACTTATAAAAATGGACAGAATCAACAGTGAGCAGCAAAAATTCTATTATTCAGCTTCTTACTATGACAAAAAGATGAATTAACAGGCATGAAAAGTGATAACGTGCTGACAACAGAATTTTTTATTGTACGTTATTTCGTTATGCTTAAATAATGCAGATGTGACTTGTCTTACTTACTTAAATTCGTTAAAATGGACAAAAACTAAAATTACCTTTGAATTTTATATGTAAAAGCATATTTTTCACTTTTTTCAACAACTGTCAAACCGTGCGTTTTTTTTTACCTAAATAAACTTCATTTCACTGCTTTTTATGATTATTTATTGACTGTTAAAAGAATGATAGCTGTTTATTTTCACAAGTGTCTTAAAGCCACCTCAAATGTTACTTTCTTCAAATATCTCTTTATTTACAAAACGTGCAATAAATTTCAATTATTATTTTTTGTTTATGATGTCACGATCCTAATATGGCCACGGCGATTAAGAATTTTAAATTATAGTTCAACAGTTTCACATATACACACATATACACACGCGCGCACGCACTCATATGCATGTACATTGTGTGTGGACAAGATAAATGCTCTAACATTTTAAATATTTCTTCTGAAAAGAATTTTTTTTCAAAAGCTTCATGTAATAAATAGAATTAGCTATCTTTTGCTCGATAATTACATAATTGCAAACTTGCATATTATGATTACTCCTTATCACGCTATAATTTACATAAGACGATTTTCACTTATCATTCATTTTAAATATATAGCTGAGATTCTTGATTCCATTGTACTGTACACGTAGTAACTGAATTATTTTGATTATGTTTTTGTGTCTCATTATTACTCTATTTCATTATGCTTGCGTAATATATTGATCCAAGTTGAAATATTCAAGCTCGCGGATTCAGTTTAGATGACTTAAAATTTGATATAGGCATTTGAAAAGAATTTTCTTTTAACAGGCAGAGTAGAAGTTTATGAGATTAAGAAATTTTTTATCACTACACTTTTATATATTTTTATGCTGTTCGTATCTTACTTTGTACGTACGAGTTATAAAATTATATCTCCGCAATATATATTCCTCGAGATGAAAAATGAGCTTACCTTTATTAAGCTCCAGAATTACAACTGCGAAACTCATATGTACTTTCGGATTAACGACTAGATTATTTTACTCTCTCTCTCTCTCTC